GCTGAGCTGGACACTGACCCATCAGGCCGGCAGCCCTGGGCCAGCGCCATAGGGCGGCCCTGGCTCTGTTCTCCCCCTGGCACGGGTGACGCTGGAACAGGGGTTAGGGACCATGACTGAGCCCTGACCCCTGCCACCGCATGGTCTCCCAGCACTGCATCCTCAGGCCCTAGCACTGAACTATCGGCCCAGCTGGCTGGGTATCACAGGGAGTGGTCCCCAGTTTCTCTGAGCACTATAGGGACCAACCCCCAAGCACCAGGTGGCTTCAAGTGCTTGAGCACAGGCTTTGCATGCAGGAGCTCTGGGGTTAATTCTAGTGCCAAGTGCATGGTTGTCCAAGCACAGAAGAGAGCCCTCGGCATGGCCCCAACATACACACACACACACACACACACACACACACAGAGAGTACTGGGTTATATGAGATTATGTGAGTCTCTCTCTCTCTCTGTCTCTCTCTCTCTCCCCCCAATCCCCCCCCCCCCCAGCCTTCTTTCCAGTTTTTGGGCCACACCTGGTGATGCTCAGGGGTTCCTCCTGGCAGTGCTCAGGGCGCCATATGGGCTGCCAGGGATCGAACCCGGGTCGCCTTTGTGCAAGGCAAGCGCCCTCCACTTTGGGCAAGACTATCCCCCTGGCTCCTTGAACTCTTTTTGCTTTAATTTTTGTGCCACTCCCAGCGGGTACTCAGGAGCGACTCTGGCTCTGTGCTCAGGGGACCGTGGGGGCGCCGGGGACAGACTCCACGCCCCCTGCAGGCAGAGCGTAAACTTGGCCCCTTCAGAGTTCTGGTAAGTGCGAGAGGCCGTGAGTTAGATCCCTGGACATGCATGAGAATATGAGAATATTTACTTGCGGCCATTGTTGCTAATAAACTTTATGCTTTTCCTTTCTACTTCTTATTAAATCTCTTGCTGTACATTTAAAATGATTTTTTTTTTTTGGGACGGGAGCAGGTGGGTCTCTTTTGCAGTGCTCGGGGGGCTACTCCTGGCTCAGGAGACCATAATGCAGAGCCAGCGATCAAATCTGGGCCAGTCACATCCAAGGTCCTACCCATTGTACTCGAGGCCCACCTTAAAAATGATTTTTATATGGGTGTGTCTGAAGATTTTATTCGAAGAGTCTATCAGAAGACTGGCAACAGAACTGCTTGAGCACGGATGCTTTTCAGGGTTCGCTTGTTACTTGGGGCACACCTGATTGTGCTCAGGGGCTTGGGTGGGCCACGTGGTGCTGAGGAACTGAACCTGGTCCTCCTGAAGATGGGTGTTGGCAAGTGACGCCCTTAGTCACTGGGGATGCGGAGGGCAGAGCCGTCCCGCTTCAGGGCACAGCTGACACACTGGGCACAGCCCAGGGCAAGCATTTTAAGTCACAGGGCCTCTCCAGGGGCCACTACAGTAAGTTTCCTCATGACTGGTGAGATTTAGAGAACGAGGAAAGATATGTCTCCGTAGAATCATATTCTAGATGATATTTGAGCCTATTTTTTGATTTTTTTTTAATTTGGCAAAGGCACCATTTTTTCATTATGTATCCTAATTGCTTGAAGGAACAGTCTTTTGTTTCAGCTAATCACAGAAAATTAAACACAGCTGACTTCATGTTTCTATAAGGAAGGAGATTAAAGGAAAACACATGCACTAATTTAAGAATAAATGTGTGCATGTAAGTCATATATATGTATAAATGTGTGAATATACATATCTCTATATATATATTCACTGTACAATTAGGTATGTCAAATCCAGAAAATGAAGGTTTAAGAAGATAAAAAGGAAAATAGGGAATAATAAAATTACTTTGTGAAGAACCAGAAATTCTACCCTCCAGCCAAGCTCGGAGAAATGTAGACTTTTAGCAGTCAAGGGAGGGACAGGCCACTTCCTCTTTTAGGCGGGCATATTCTAGAACCCGGGGCTCATTATAAACATAAGGAGTTTCATTTTGTTTTGGAGTCCTTAGGTTAAATGACGTTTTACACGTATCACTTGTCTCAATGACTCTGTGACCATTTTTTAACTGCCACTCCAAAAAGTACCAATAAAACTCATCTCTGTACAGCAAAGTGTTCTGCTCAGACTGGGCAACTCTTTTTTTTTTGGGGGGGGGGCCTTGGGGAAGGGTCCCCACAGCTGTCAGTGATCAGGGCTTACTCCTGGCTCTGTGCTCAGGGTTTATTCCTGACATTTCTCAGAGAGCCATATGGGATGCCGGGGATCGAACCCAGGTGGGCCTCATGCCAGGCAAGCACCTTCCCCACTATACCATCACTGTGGCCCCGAGATGGAGCGGCTCTTAACCGTGCAATAGAACCATATGTTATCATTCCTCTGGTCCCTCAAGACATGCTGTGATGTGGAGTCAACCCCAACATAAGAGAACCGAGAAACTCAATTCACAAAAAGAAAAGTGCTCATTAATTGATCTTAGGTGGATTCCAGAAGAGGCAACAAGGTTTGGACTCTCTCTCATGTGTTCTGAGGGCAGTTCTCCGGGAACGTTCCGGCATAGAACGTTAGGTAACAGTGAGGGGTAAAGGATGAAGACAGGTTTTGTATCAGTTCCTGAAGGCAGATCCCGGGCAACTCTACTTCTGTGCTTTACTGAAGAACAATTACCAATTATGACACAGTCTGGCTACACCTCAGTAGCACAAGAGAACAGGCCCAGTGAGGACACGGCATCAAGCCGGGAGAAGCAACATTTGCTTTTGGATTTCCCAAAGAGGGAGCCTTACTGTAACTTAAAATGAAAAAAGAGGAGAAGCAATTGGACTGGGTCAATTAAAAAAAAAAACTGGTAGTAGGCAAATCCTTGAAATCAGTAAAAGATCTTATGAAAGATCAATTTCCTTTGCTTCACAAGAATGTGATCAGATTATATTCATGGTAAGGAGGAAAAGTCTTCAATACCTGATTAAATTATAATGGGGCTTCCCTTTTTAGAATCTAGTTAAGACTATTTTAAGAGGCTATGTTTAAAACCAAACACATTCAAACTGTTGTTACTTCAGATAAACAGTGAGGTCAATAATAACCTTTGCATATTTATTTTACATTTATGTGTTCTCATCTCTAATAATTGTCTTTTTTCCCCCACCCTGTATCTAAAAAAGTCACAAAAATATGTAAGAAATTACACAACAAAGAACTGGAAATCCATTGTGAGTGAATTAGAGACATCAATACAGCTGAATAGATTTCATTTTAAAAATACTTACCACATTAAGTGCTGGAGAAAAAATCTGCACAGGCATATTAATCTATTTTTTTTAACTGAAAACTGAAAGTTTAGAGCCTAAAGTACCTCTTCATAATCAACAATGATTAATATAGTTAGAGTAAAACATTTAGTGTTGATCCATTTTATAAAGGAAGCGGATAATATTTAGGACATTATATATAAAATATAATAAATATATATACACACACAGATAGAGTCAGGAGGCATATATAACTGTAGGTATGCCACCGATTCTCCAAGTTTGGAAGGATGTAAAGAGCGACTCAGTTATTTGTTTTATTAAGCTTTTTAACAGATCTCATCTTAATGATTTAATCATAGCCATGAGATATTTTCAAAGCTCTGTTGATGGCCAAATGAAAGTTCATTCAAAATTTCACTTATCAAGCCTGAAAATGCAAGTAGGATTGCATAACATTAGGCAAACATCTGCATGCCTGGCCAGAACGAGCTGTGTCTGTGGGGGGTGTTTCATTCGTCTGAGGAGGAAGAAAACTTTCAAATATTGCTTTCAGAGAACACTTTTTTAGTCCATGACATCATTTCAATCATGACCCTCGTTGCTGGAACATTACTGCTTATTCTAGTGAATATAATTCTAAATCCTGTTGGCTGGGAATTTGAAATAAAAAATGATTAGGGGTTTTGCTATTTTTATTTTTTGCAGTGCCAGGTATGGAACCCAGGGTCCCCCACATGCGAGGCAACTGCTCTCGCACTGAGTTACAGTCCTGGCCAAGGGGAAGTTAAAATTTATTATTATAAATTTTTGTTTGGGGGGACTAAGACAAACTTGGTAGTTCTTAGGGCTTTCTTGTGGCTCTGAGTTCGGGGACCATTCCTAGGGGGGCTCGGAGGACCAGCCGGGACGAGACGATGGGTCATGTGCTAGGAAAGTACCCTGCCTGCTGTACTATCTCTCTGGCCCCGGAAATAAAAACTTAATGAAAATTTTCTTGTTTTACAGAGCACATTTAGAAGAGAACACCTGTACCAAATTGTAGGCAACTGCTTTTATTCCTACGCAGAAAACCCAACTCACTATTTCTCTCTTTTCTCTTTCTCTCTCTCTTTTTTTTTCCCATTTTGGGACACACTTAGCAGCTAGGGATTAAATTCGAGCTCCTGCATGCAAGTCATCTGTTCCAGCCTTTTGAGACATCTCCCTCGGCCCAGCCAACTCACTGAATTTGGCACTGAAGTGGCGGCATTTTGAAACGCGCCTATTCCTACTTCAAAAAAAGAAAATCAGTTCACAGAAGATTCCTGAGTCACTACTCACTGCATTTAAGCCTGTCAAATTTTATGCAGAAAGAGAGCCAGTCAAATGAATCATTAAAATATTAGTTCTAAGCATGCCGTTTCTCAGTTCGGCTTTTTTAAAAAGCTGCATCATTCTGATAATTCAGAACGACAAGCTCAAAGCTTTTCCCTCTTTTCTCCCAGTTCTCTCTCCCTTCTTTACAAACAATCACAACAAACACATGGGCCAAGTTTAGGTCTGTCCCCAAATAGTGGCTTTTACATTCTATTTTCCTTACCACTGTGTTCTCCCTCAGACTTTTCGCCTTAACTCTCCCAATTTACCTAGGAGGGTAAAATTCGACCCTGTGGGAGCTATGCTGAGAGATAATACAATCCAAACTAGATAGCTGGGACATTTTGGGGGCAAACTTAAGTGTTTTGATTACTGTTTCAAATAAGACTGAAAGGAACCCCCGGATCCCTGATACCGAGATGGAACTTACCTTGGAGCCACGTTCATTAAAGATTATTTCTACATCTAGGATTTTGCCAAACTGCTGCAGAGACAAAACACAAACATATATTTACAGTCAGTTTTTTTATTCACATACTTGACTTTCTTTTGGAAGGCATTTTCATTTTCTTTGAACTACTCACTGAACTTTCATGTTTCTATTTTTTTTTATTTGTTTGTTTTTTTTTTTGGCCACACCCGGCGATGCATAGGGGTTCCTCCTGGCTCTGCACTCAGGAATCGCTCCTGGCGGTGCTCGGGGGACCCTATGGGATGCTGGGAATCGAACCCGGGTTGGCCGCATGCAAGGCCAACGCCCTCCCCGCTGAGCTATCGTTCCAGCCCCTCACGTTCCTATTTGTGGGCAGGTCCCAGGACCAGTCTTCATTTTTTCCGCATCACTGAGCATGATTTTTCCTTTTTCAATTCCCTGACTCCTGCATTCCCTCTGCTTCCACTGGCGGAAAATAGCCTTCAACAGTATGTTTTCCTACATAGGCTTTACTTCTTATCACCGTTGAAGGTTATTTTCTTCCCCTGGGATTATATATGATTTTTTTATCTATGGAATTATAGTTTTTTCTATATATAAAAGTGATAATCACTCTAACAAAATCAGAAAATATGTTATCAACAAAAAGGAGAGGAAAGGAGCTGGAGCAATAATACAGCAGGTAGGGTGTTTGTCTTACACGCTGCCGACTGGGTTCAAGCCCCGGCAACCCACATGGTCCTTTGTGCCTGCCAGGAGTGATCTCCAAGCACTTTGGTTTTATGGCCCCAAAACCAAAACCAGAACCAAACCAAACCAAACCAAACCAAAGAGCCAGAGGGGAAACAGGACATAAAGATCACCCATACTTCTCTCATTCTTTAAATTATCCTTTTTATTTGCTTTGTTGGGTCACACCTGGCGATGCACAGGGTTTACTCCTGGTTCTGCACTCAGGAATCACCCCTGGCGGTACTCAGGGGACCATATGGGATGCTGGGAATCGAACCCCGGTCGGCCATGTGCAAGGCAAATGCCCTACCCACTGTGCTATTGCTCCAGCCCCCTCTCTCATTCTTTATATTTTTGTATGGGGGCCACACAAGGCGATGCTCAGGGGATCTCCTGGCTTTGTGCTCAGGAGTCACTCCTAGTGATGCTTGGGGGACCATATGGGATGCTGGAATCAGATCCGGATCAGTCACTTACATGGCAATACCCTACCCTCTCCTTTGTTCTATCACCTCGGCCCTTTCTCTCGTTTTATACCGAGACATGTCTCTATGTATACACACAAATACAGAGCTAAATGTAGATGTCAGAGACGTCCCATGTACGGTTTTTCTCTTTTGTTTGCTTTGGGGCCATACTCAGTGGTACTCAGGAGTCATTACCAGCTCAGTGGCTGGAAATTGCCTTTGGGGGTCTTTGGGGGGCCATGAGGTGGTGGGCCTGAATGCGGGCTTCCCAGAAAGCATGCAGTCAGCCCTTGGAGCTATCTCCTCAGACCCTTTTCTTATTTTTTAACTTAATATATACCATAAGCAATTTTCCGTGTCAATACATGGATGTTATCATTGATGTCGGCTAATACTACTTCTCATTGTACAGAAACATTCACGGACATTACGGATGATTTCATTTGCCCCTTTAATAATATTCTGTAACAGGCATCATCAGAATTATTTACATTAGAGCTTTGTATTGTAAGACGTTATCATTTGGAAAAATCCAATGAAGGTAGCACTGTAGCACTGTCCTCTTGTTCATCGATTTGCTCGAGTGGGCACTAATAATGTCTCCATTGTGAGATTTCTTGTTACTGTGTTTAGCATATCGAATACGCCATGGGGAGCTTGCCAGGCTCTGCTGTTCAGGCGGGATACTCTTGGTAGCTTGCCGGGCTCTCTGAGAGGGATCGAGGAATCGAACCTGGGTCAGCTGCATGCAAGGCAAATGCCCTACCCGCTGTGCTATCACTCCAGCACAATGAAGGTAGAAGGTGAAAACCAAAGCCCAAATAACTTTATTGCTGGGTAGTTAAGCTGCTGGTTAGAAGGTCATACACAGGGGCTAGAGCGATAGTACAGCGGGTAGGGCATTTGCCTTGCCAGTGGCCAACCTGGGTTCAATCCCCGGCATCCCATAGGGCACCGCCAGGAGTAATTCCTGAGAGCAAAGCCAGGAGTAACCCCTGAGCACTGCTGGGTGTGACCCAAAAAGCTAAAAAAAAAAAGTTATACACAAAACACAGTAATTAGGTGGAGAAGTATGTGAGCATTGATTTGAAGGGAGACACAGTGAATCTCAAAGTATCTTTCTTCTCCTCTGTGCTTAACTGTCTATTTCAACTGGATTTCAAATCAGACTTTGGAAAACTGAAAATCTAAAAGGAGTAACACAGAAATCATGCTTCCTCCATGGGCTGAATTTTTACAATCTTTACATCAGAAAAACACGTCATATGCGCCCAAATTTCCTGGAGTAGGACATCTAAGCCTGATTTCAATTTCATCATCAATGGAAAAAAGTAGAAATATCTAGGAAGGAAGAAAATGCCTTATTTTGGTCCAAAGGGTATTTTATTTCCCTGCATGCCCCCCAAAGATCTGTATGAACATTTTCCTTCTTTTACATGTTCCAGCACATCCTAGTAGAGAAAGGGCTGATTTCCTTTTATGGTTTAGGAAAATAAGGCTGAAAAAAGCTAGTCACCATGTTTCCAGAACTCATAATTTGGACTAGCTGCTTTTTAGCAATGCTCCTGTCCATGGTACAGCCCTGGTGGCAGGCGGCAGACCAGCTGGGATCCTGGCAAGGAAAATGTCCTTTTGTCTTTTTTATACCTAGTGCCTTACAGCTAGGGCATAATGTTTTTTTGTTTGTTTGTTTTGCTTTTTTTTTTTGGGTCACACTCGGCGATGCTCAGTGGTTACTCCTGGCTCTGCATTCAGGAATTACTTCTGGTGATGCTTGGGGAACCATATGGGATGCTGGGAACTGAACCTGGGTTGGCCGCCTGCAAGGCAAATGCCCTCCCCGCTGTGCTGTCACTCCAGCCCCAGGATCACTATCTTTTGTCCTGGTTTTTAGCAGTGAAAATCTCAGGCCCCCCAAATCTTCGTCCCAGGTAAACTGGGTCAGAATCGTCTTCTGGACGTGAGAACTTGTCGTGTTAAAGTCTAAAGCCAGGAGATAAGGTGAGAAGAAAAAGGTCTTAAATTAAGAAGAAGGAGAAGTGCTAATTTACTTCTGGATCTTCCTCTACTTTGAGTTGTCTCTTAAAGCACTGAGAACTAAGAACACACCGATCGAATTCTATTTTAACCGAAAAACCCACACGGGGACTTCAGACTTACCCCAAACATCTGCCGGAGGTCAGGGTCCCGGAAGCGGAAAGGGATATTAGAGACATGCAGTCTTTTGGGGGTCGATTTACTCTCTGAATTCTCGCTACTTTGTGTCTGGGACTGTTGGCCATCAGTTTGTGCGCCCCCTTCTGTCTGCTAAGGTAAGAAACAAACAACATTGTGTGAAAAACACATACAACCAGGTCACAGCATTCTGTGCAACAGTCCTTCCCCACCCTGATCATTCTCAATGCCTACAAGCAAAAAAGTTACAGTTTCCCCTTCAAAGAGAAAACAACAGTAACAACAAACACAATCCAAAGATGTGCTAGAATTTACAAATGAAACCGAGGCCTTTTGAATTACATTAGCCAAAAGGAAGAAAGCAGCAATGTTACATGACCACCCGGAGACCCACTGGGATAAGGAAGATAAGAAAATAATACCATTAATCTTGAGAGTTTGTGTTTTTTTTTTCTTTTTTTTCTTTTTTGGGTCACACCTGGCGATGCACAGGGGATCCTTCTGGCTCTGCACTCAGGAATTACTCCTGGTGGTGCTTGGGGGACCCTATGGGATGCTGGGAATCGAACCTGGGTTAAATGCCCTCCCCGCTGTAGTATCACCCCAGCCCGAAGAGTCTGTGTTTTGAGAGCTTTGTTGCTGCTTGTGTCTGGGCCCTACTCAGCCATATTGGTGGCCACTCTGGTCTCGGTATCCTGTGGGGTGGGGGTAAGAGCAATCCCAGCACTGCTCTGGGGGTTGTGTAGTGTCTGAGACCACCCCTAGGGCTCTGGCAAGCATAGCACACTTGAGCCTGATGCCGGGGCCTCCTGACTCCTTTCACTTCAGACACGAAGCATGTGTAGTACTTAACTGTGAGAGCACTGCTTTAAGGACCGAGGGAGTATTTTTCTATTTCATTCTATTTCAACCTTAGCTGGTTGCAGGGTTTATGACCACTGGGTGGCCAGAGTATGATGATCCTAGTTAGGAAGAGCAATACTTAATGACAATGGGTACTTTGCTTAGAAATCAAAGAGTTGAGGCTGGAGCAATAGCACAGTGGGTAGGGTGTTTGCCTTGCAAGCGGCCAACATGGGTTCGATTCCCAGCATCCCATAGGGTCCCCTGACCACCGCCAGGGGTAACTCCTGAGTGCAGAGCCAGGAGGAACCCCTGTGCATCGCTGGGTGTCACCCAAAAAAGAAAAAAAAAATAAAAAGAAATCAAAGAGCTGTCTCTGGTGCCACTCTGTGCTTCTGCCCCTATAACTGATGAAAATCTAGTTAACTTTAGCAATGGGGGCCTCTGTGGTTTAGAGCAAAGGGGAATCTAGAAAAAAAATGTACATGTACAGCCACTCCGAGGGCTTGACTCCCCTCCTTCAGGGATGTTCTATGCAGGGACGCCAACCTGTGAATAATTTCAGGTACCGGGCGTCTGGGACTGAGAACGTTGTTTTATTTATTTATTCATTTACTGGGGTTGGGGTGGGCTGCTTCCCCCTAACCCTCCATATGAAAACCCTGGTGGCCATGCCCAACCCCTCACAGCTGCTTCGAGGTCAAGTCACTGGCTCAGACCATAAATCCTGAGATGTCTGGACTGCGCGGCCACATACGCAGCCACACGACACCTCCTAAAGCAGACGCAGCTTAATTCATTCTTAGGCAAGGACTTCACCACCCTGCGATCAGCTATCACACTTTTCACATACAGTTTTCTATACCTATTGATTTTAATACTGCAGCTTTATCTAAGTGATTTTAATTCCAGAATTGTACCAACCATTGTGGCTTTTTTTTTTGTTCCTGCATTAAAATAAATAGAAATTCAAAAAAAAAAAAAAAAGAAAAACTGTGAGGAAAGACTATGAGGAACCCAGACTCAACTATCATCCAGCACACACACACTAGAATTGCACATTCTTACAGTGGGAGAGCATGTGCAGGTCTGCACTCAGGGTAGGGCATGAAATCTTTTTTTTTTTGTTAACACCCCAGGCCTGAGCACATTAAACTTTCATTTTCAGGAGATGCCCACAGTTGTTACACCCAGAAATATTTTTCGACAAATCTAACAGTCATGATACATTTTAGGCATTCAAAAAGACAACGATTTTGATGTCTTCACCTGGCTAATTAAAAGAGAAAAAAAATAAAACTTTTGTTATTCTCTATGAAGTCACGCCAAACTGGACGGCCAGCACTGAGCAGATGAAGCCACACATTGTTAAGACAGGAGTGGAACTTGCTGCTGCTGTTCTATTAACTGGGTTAGACTGAGTTCTTTTCCGATTCTTCTGGGTGACACCAAGTGGATACTTCCCCTTTGACCTCATGTACAGCTAAAAAAAAACGAAATTAGGTAGTTTTGGCTCCGATATGTTTAGCAACCATCTTGAAATAAAGCGTGAGGCTTCCAAATAGAAAAGGATAAGCAGGGAGGGACTTGGAATGGATACCAGCGCTTTCAGCCGTCAGTCCGAGTGAGGGAACTTTTTAATCTCATTGCATTCAGGCTTTGCAGATGGCTTAAATGCGCAACGATTCACGTGATATAAAAAGAGCGGGAAAGCCGGAGCCACGAAGCAACGGGTCTGTGAGGAAGTGTCGGGGTTTCGATCCCCGATCGGAGCACCATCCAGAGGAAACAACCTTAGTTCGGAGGTGGGCGTCACTGAGTTAGGAAAACGGCACACCGCGGCGGTCATCGTGGTCATCGGCAACATGCAAGATGCAAGAGCATCCAGGAGCGTTCGTGCTCACTCCAGCTCACTCCCGACCCGTCTTACACCGAGCAGCCGATCACCGACCCTCCCCTCCGCCAGACTTGCCAGGCGGCAGGTCTGCTCTGCAGAACGTCAGCGCAACACTCAGCGCCGTTTCGCTCTACAGCTGGCTTAAGGACGGGGGACCGTGGAATCGAAAATACCGGATGCTGGGGCCGTGGGTACCTATTTCTGGCTCCTGAGAGTCTCTGGCTGCCCCTCAGACACAGCTTACAAAGTTAGATGTCTGAGTGGCTGATTTTCTGGCCTTCTGGTGGGCACTGACATTTTTTCGCCAGTCCGAGATCTTTCCTGCTGTTGTTGTGGGAGACTTGGGCGGGGGGACGGGGGGCACAGTCAGTGATGCTCAGGTGCTCTTCCTGGCTCTGCTCAGGGGTGCGGTGCCAGGGATCCAATCCGGGTCATGGCCAAAGCAGCCGCATGCAAGGCAAGCACCTTACCTCCCATACTATATCTCCGGCCCCCCAAAGTCTGAAGTCTTTAAGAGATCTGACAAATGGAAAAAGTGAACTATCATTTCTCAAATTCTCAAACCTTGTAAGTTTAAGCTTAATATACAGATATAAATACACAAGCCACTGAACAGCTTTTTCTTTTTTTTTTTAAATTTTGCTTTTTGGGGTCATACCCACCCGGTGATGCCTCAGGGGTTATTCCTGGCCGTGCACTCAGGAATTACTCCTGGTGGTGTTCGGGAGACGATATGGGATGCCGGGGATTGAACCTGGGTCGGCTGCATGCAAGGCAAACACCCTCCCCACTGTACTATCACTCCGGCCCCTGAACAGCTTTTTACAAAGGAAATACCCCCGTAACCTCAACTTAAATCAAGCAACTGAACCCCAGAAGCACCCCTGGGTTCTGTGCCGGCCATTCACTCCTACTTGTCAAAGGGTCACTGCTGCCCTAACTTCCAAAGTCAGATGAGCTTTACTGGTTCTGAACCTTTTTTTTTTTAAGACTCACAATGGACTCTTTTGTGTCTGGTTTCTTTTCACATTACATCTATGGAATAGAGTCACACATCGCTGTAATCTGTCCCCTCTTTCATTTCATAAACATAGAGAATTGATCTGTGCTGCTTCCGGTATTGGGCGATTAAGAACACTTCTAAGAATATTCTTTGTTATCCATCTTTTGGTAGACATCCAGGAGTGATGGGCGTAAATCCAGCCTTCCGAGACAGTCATTTTCCAATGCAGTTAATTATGTTAGTTTCCCAAGATCAGAAATGAAGTGGGAGAGTAGGAACGTAAGACGTTCGCCGCCTGACTACAGGCACTAAACTGCCTCTTTTTATAAACATTGCACCCAGGGGCCCCTTACTCTCGTTGGGACGCAGGAACGTGTGTGGTCCCCAGTCCCTTACGAGGCTCTCGCTGAAGGAGGAGGGAACAAGGAGACAGCGAAAGCTAGACAAGGTAAAGCAGATTCTCCTCCAAGCACTGCAGCTGCTATAAATAAGGACTCTGAAACTCACAGTCACTGCCCAGGGGGCCTAACAACCTAGAAACTGGATCAATGAATGATCTCGCCGGGAAAATAAGATGCAGAGAAACACTTATTCTTTTCAGTGCCACCAACAACCTTCAAATCTGGTTATGTCTCTATTCTTGAAAGAAGAGAAGTTTTCAGGCCGGGAAGGAGAGGAGACAGCTAAAAAACTAGGAAAGACACAATGCAGATTCCTGTACATTTGTGAGGGAGGGAAGAAAATATATCCTCGATAAAAAAAAGACGGCGTTTCTCGGTTGACATTAAGCTGACCTCAATCTAGACTAATAACGGTGGAGACAAATCAGAGAGAAAAAAGTCAATCACGGTGTCTGGGCTCTGTGGCTGTTTAAAGTGGAGAGCTATACTGTCCAGATTTTTTTTTTTCTTTTTGGGTCATACCCAGCAATGCTCAGGGGTTCCTCCTGGCTCTGCACTCCGGAATTCCTCCTGGCAGTGCTCAGGGGGACCCTCTGGGATGCTGGGAATCGAACCCGGGTTGGCCGTGTGCAAGGCAAACGCCCTCCCCGCTGTGCTATCGCTCCAGTCCCTGTATTGTCCAGATTTGAACAGTCAAACAAGCAGCTTGTGCAACACTGGTTTCCTCTCTTTCCTTTTCCCAGCTACGGGGCGACTTTACTGACCCCACAGACCTTTGCCAGGCCAGGCTCTCCCTTCCCTTCGAGTGTCATTTTCTGCCCGACCATACTTGCTGGGCAGGGGAAGAAACGGAGGAGACAGGAGTCTGTGTGCTGAGTGGGAGCAGGGCCAGTAGCAGGAGGGCTCGCTGCTGTGGTTCGACCAGGTTCTTGATGTCCACTCTGCAGAGGACTTCACCGGGAGGGAGGTACGAACTGCTGGCCGC